GCAGTGTGTGTGTGTGTGAGGGGTGATGTGTGTGTGAGGGGGCTGTGTGTATGAGGGGTGCAGTTTGTGTGTGTGTGTGTGTGTGTGTGTGTATGGGGGCAGTGTGCGTATTGAGGGCAGTGTGTGTGTGTATGGGGAAGTGTGTGTATGTGTATGGAGGCAGTGTGTATGTGTATGGAGGCAGTTATGTGTGAATGGGGGCAATGTGTGTGAATGGGGGCAGTGTGTGTGTATGGGACAGTTTTTGTATGGGGCAGTGTGTGTATATGGGGGCAGTGTGTGTGAGATGGGGGGCAGTGTGTGTGTGTATGGGGGCAGTTTTTGTGAATGGGGGGCAGTTTGTGTATGGGGGGCAGTTTGTGTGTATGGGGGGCAGTTTGTGTGAATGGGGGGCAGTGTGTGTATGGGGGCAGTTTGTGTGTATGGGGGACAGTTTGTGTGAATGGGGGCAGTTTGTGTGTGTATGGGGGGCAGTTTGTGTGTATGGGGGGGGCAGTTTGTGTGAATGGGGGGGCAGTATTGGGGGCAATGTATGTGTGTGTGTGGCTTTTTTTTTTTTATAAAATATTTTTAAAAAAATTTAATTCGAATTTAATTTTTTTTATTTAATTATTTATCCGAAATATGTCCCCCCTCCCTTCTTACCTTTACTGGGGGGAAGGGGGGACATATTTCGTTCCCTGGTGGTCCCAGTGGGGATTCATTGGTGGTCCAGTGTGGAGAGTGAACTCTAGCCCGCGCTCCCGGGCTAGAGTTCACTCTCGCGAGATTTGGAGCGTTGCCGTGGTAACCGCGGCAACGCTTCAAATCTCACGAGAGGAGGACCCGGAGGAGCTGCAGACTGAGCTCCGGGTCCTCAATCTCCCTCCCCCTCCCTCCCCTGCCGGCTCTCAGCACAGTGCCTGCCATGCTGGCAGGGGAGGGAGAGGGAGACCGGCGGATTTCTCGGGGGGGGCAATTGCCCCGTTGCCCCCCCCCTGGATCCGCCACTGAATTGGGAGCTATAATACACTACACCTTCTGCTTTATTTGGATTTCAGGAGACACTGCACAGATTTACTCAGCTGGAGTGTAAGAGGTCCTTAACACCAACCATTTATGTTTTCCTAATATGGCATGCACCGGTTTTTATCACCGGTTTTAGACATAGTCACTTGACAGGTTTTAGAGCCATGCTTAATGTATTCAATCCTACACAAAGTATTGGTACAATCATACACGAAAGGTTTTCCATCACTTTGGAAATGATTGTCTTTGAATTTCTCGCAATCATTCAAAATGGGTATTTGTTACAAAGTCCTCCTTTGTCTGCTACACTTTTGTTACTTGGTTATTTAAAACTCACAAAACATCCTGGCGGGTGCCGACAATTAACCCCTTTCACCCAGTGGTGTATTTTGGATTTTTGGCGCTCCCCCTGAAAGTGCCCCCCTAGGCAAATGCCTTGTTTGTCTTTGGTAAATATATCCCTGCTTTCACCCTCTCTACCCTCAAACTGAGTTCCAAAGATCTTTCGACCGACCACCCTACCTGAGGAGTGTGCCCATCATTAACCACCCTGGAGTTGCGGTTTGCGGTTAACCGCAGTATAATTTACAGTCGACAGGGTGGTCGGCGTTCGTATGTATGAACATGTGGCGGCACCATCTTTAATTGCTGAATGCCCAACGGGACTTGGCCAGCGACTGCTTGGTACCATTTTCGGCTATTGTTTCATACGAGCCCCACTGGTATTCTCTGTGCCCCGTCCGTTCGTGCATAAAGTACTGAACGCCGTGCCGTTCAGTATTTTAAGACTGAGAAGGATGTACCGACCTCATGCAGGACACTATGGTGAAGGATTTCTGGGTTGTTCATTGCCAAACAGCCCTTTATACACTTTTTACCCCCATGGCATTCCCATACCATTCGTGAGATCTGAGCGCTTTTCGTTTAACTTGTGCGCTCAGTTCCAAGCTGTCTGGGTGTAGTGGAGAGGTAGTATAATCCACAGTATCTCCGCTGGGTAACAGGAACAGCATAAAATATTCCAAGGAAATAAATACAGCATACAATAATCCCGGTAGCGTTATAAGAATCCTTCCTTCCTAAGAACTAGACGACACATAGGCTGGAAGTCAACTGAGGTTTCATTCACAGGTCACAGTATTTATGCAAGTCCCCATGCAAGGGGTTTCCCTACTGACATTCCAGGGGTGGGACAGTAGGGGACTACATGGGGAACTGACCAACACACACATTTCTCCCATCATGCACTGCTGTACGAGAGGGATAGCCCTACTGGAATATACCATTAATGGGATTATCCCTCCATGCAGCAGAACTTACATTTTACACTAAAATACATAACTTCCATAATATTTCCCTGATTTACACGAATGGACGTTCGGTAGATAGCTGGGGGCTGAGCGCACAGTTCGTGAGAATACCGCTCAGCTCCCAGTCTAACCGAACGCCGCACGAAATACATATTATTTTCAACACACTGTTAAAATACCGATTAGTAGAAGGGGAACAAACTACCGAACGCCCAGGGATCCCGAACAGCCTGGAAGTCCAGCAGGGTTCGCGCCGTCGAGTAGCCGATTTTAGTTCCAGACGCTCTACGGCAAAACCCCGCTGGGCTAACAAAGGAATCAAGATGGCCGACCGCCGCGTGGTCGGTAGCTGAACGACGGCCACCTAGGGAAGCCTTTAACTACCGATTGCAACAATGTTGCAATCGGTTAATGGGTGCCACACGACCTCCTGTGTGTGGTCGACCATTTGGTAGTTAATTCGTTTCACGAACAGTGTTTAAACTCACTGTTCGTGAAACTACATAGGCATCGCAAGCATACGAACACCCTCGTTCGCCTGAAAGCTACATACAGTATTATACTTGGTTCTTACAGCTAAAACAAGGGTATCTACACATGCAATACATGAATAGTCTTAAGTGGCTAGTTTTGCCACACTGGGGATATGTTGAATGTGTATATTGAAGAACATGATGTCTGAGTTATGTATTTTTATGCAGTTTTTGTGTATCTGTAATAGTTAGAATATTTCCTGTACCTGGAGATAATTAAGTTATTGGAACTGATTATCTCCAGGCTAGAGGGGAGGGTTTGAAAAGATGCACTTTGTCCTCATTGGTTGTTGTCATTTGTCACCCTGTGTACCATCAGGTCCAGAGGGGTGTGCCTCTGTCCTGAACATGTGTATTTAAGCAGTGCAGTGCCAATCAATAAACCACTCTTTTTACCCTCAACTCGCAGCCTCAACTCGTGTTGGACGGAAATGCTTAATAAGACACCCTGAACAGACTTCAGAGCGCTTGTACCAGCTGGGCCAACTAGGTATTCGGGACCACACAACAACAATTATGACCGACCAAGGCAGTGCAACCAACCAGGCCATTATATTAGAGAATGCCTGCTCAACACCAAGGAATCATGCTACATCATCGTCCAGTCCTACTCAATCAGCCCGGGCTCTCTGTGTGGACCGAGAACCACCCATGGAGCTGCATCACGAGGCTGACCCAGTCTTTGCAGTCTCCAGGGACAACCGCCAACACCAGAGGTAAGAGGTACAGCTGGATGGTCGCACCGCTCAGGGACTGAGGGACACTGGCACTACAATCACCTTAGTGCAAGGTCGCCTAATACCGGAGCACAAAAGGTTGGGACAGACGGTGGCCATTCGAGTAGCCAGGGGGGATGTATACCGGTTACCCACTGCCAAAATATATTTGAACTGGGGAGCAGGAGAGGGGCTTGTGAATGTGGGGATTACGGACAATTTTTCATCCGAAGTACTGTTGGGCAACGATCTGGGTCCGATGACATCAGCCTATGCCCCCTCGTATAACACTGAAGACCACCCGGGCACAAGCAGGGACACAGCAAGACCCTTCACCAGTGCAGGAGATGCAGGTCAGACTACCCGAGACTGTAACTTGTCCCAAACCCCCCATCCCATGGGATACCCCTGAAGCATTTGGAAAGGAAACTAGGGCAGACCCGACTCTCAGCAAGATAGACAACAAGGACTTTATATGGGAGCAGAATAAGCTGTATAGGCTGACTGAAAAGAAGGGCCACAGGAAGCACCAACTAGTGATTCCTTCCAAGTATAGACAGGAAATTCTAAGAGTAGGGCATGAAATTCCCTTAGCTGGCCATTTAGCAGTTACTCGCACCCTGCACTGCATAACCCACACCTTTTTCTGGCATGGAGTGCATGCTGACATGAGAACCTACTGCAAAACACTCGATACCTGTCAGCAGGTAGGGAGAAGAGGCTCACCTGGTGAATATGCCCATCATTGAGAAGCCATTCAGCAGAGTTGCCATTGACCTGGTAGGACCCCTAGCCACCCTAAGTCCATCAGGGAAAAGGTATATCCTTAATGTGGTGGACTATGCGACACGCTATCCAGAAGCAGTGGCTCTATCTAATATCCAGGCAGAAACCGTGGCCAATCCTCTAGTTCAGGTTTTCTCTCAGGTAGGATTTCCAAAGGAGATCCTATCCGACAGAGGCACACAATTCACCGCAGAACTCACCCAACAGCTATGGCATGTATGCAAAATAAAATCACTGCTCAGCTTCCCCTATCATCCGCAGACCAATGGGCTATGTAAGCGGATGGAACCCTCAAACAAATGCTTAAGACATTTACCCAGGAATAAAGGGATTGGGAATGATTCCTAACGCACCTCCTGTTTGCTTATCGGGAGGTGCCCCAGGAAACTACAGGGTTCTCTCCCTTCGAGCTGCTCTATTGACGCAAGGTGCGAGGACCCTTGGACCTTATCTGAGAGCACTGGGAGGGAGAGACAGAGAATGCTGGAGTCCCCATCGTGCCATATGTGCAAGAGCTTCGGGACCCTATG